CTTTCACTTTTCCCTTTCATGCACTGGAGAAGGAAATGGCAACCCACTCCAGTGTTCTTGCCTGGAGAGTCCCAGGGACGGCGGAGCCTGGTGGGCTGTCATCTATGGGGTCGCACAGAGTCGGACACGAGTGAAGCGACTTAGCAGCAGCGGCAGCAGCAGAGCTGCTGTATAACAATACAGACAGAAGTAAGTCAGAAAAACAAGTATCATATATTAACACATACATATGGAATCAAGAAAAATGGTACTGATAGGGACCTCCTGGCAGTTGGTCCAGTGGTTAAGAATCCACCTGCCAATGCAGGGAACACGGGTTCAATCCCTGGTCCAGGAGGATTCCACATGCCACTGGGCAACTAAGCCTGTGTGCCCTAGAGCTCATGCCTTGCAAGAAGAGAGGAGCTGCCACTTCCTGCAACTAGAGAAAGACTGTGCACAGCAACAAGACCCAGCACAGCCAAAAATTAAAAAATAGTAAACTTAAAAAAAACTGGTACTGATTAACCTAGTAGAGAACAAACTTGTGGACACAGCAGGGGAAGGGGAAGTTACAACAAATTAGAAAGTCGCATTGACATAAATAAACTATCATGTGTAAAACAGATGGTTAGTGGGAAGTTGCTAAATAACACGGGGAGCCCAGTCTGGCACTTTGTAATGACCTAGAGGAGTGGGGTGAGGGGAGGGAAAGGAGAGGAAGAGGAAAGGTATAAATATATATACATATTTATGACTGATTCACATTGTTGTATGGCAGAACCCAACACAAAATTGTAAAGCAATTTTCCACCAATTAAAAAACAAATAAAAGTTTTTTAAAAGTATTCAAAAGAAGCAAAAAAAATTTTTTACTGACATACATTAGAACCTCATAAGAAACTGAAGATTCCTAAAAACTCACTTGTATCCTATCATTTATATTTTCTAGGAAATATTTAAAATTTACCTCACTTGTCAAAAAGCAAGCAAAAATTCAGTACTATTTAAGCGTCTGAATCCCTTCAGAATACAACACAAAACCCTTATTTATTTTAGAAAGTTCATGTCTACCAAGAAAAGTTATCAAATGAACACTTAATGATAAAAAATGGTAAATATTAAAGGGAAGTATGGACTAGGAGTTACACAGGCACTGGGAAGAGAGGGCCTATCACTAAAGACTGCACAAAGAGCTCCAGGGAGAGTCTCTCCAGGAAGAACAGCTGTGGTAAGGGATGCAAACTCATGACTCCAGACCAAACATAAGAAAAAGCAGCAGTGCGTGCACAATGACAAGTCAGTGTGCAGGGCGAAGAGGGAGTGGTGGGAACTGTGGCAAACTGGAGCAAGATCCAGAAAGATCCAGTCACTCAACTCAGCCAGTGGTTGCTTGTGGGGAGCAGGTTCACCATAGTCAGATATTCTAATTTTCCAGAGGTTGGAAACTTGCATTTTTGTGCAAAATTTCTGAACTGTAAAGTACTTGCCATTAATTCACACTTTTAAAAAACACCATGCAGGCCAAACAAAATACATCTGTAGGCCAGACTCAGCACAAAAACCAGCTATTTTAAATCTCCACTTTTTATTTCTCTCTGAGCCCTGCACAAGAAATTTAGGAACTGAGGATCCAAGTATTCAGATTAATACAACTTCTGAAAAAAACATTGAAATGTTTTTAATTGTATTTTTTTTCTTAACTCTTGACTTTCCCAGGTTGGAGAACCTTGATATATGGAATCTTGATACATTTCATGGCCCTGTATATGGGTTTTCCCCTATTATGTCATGTGTTTCTTAAGGAACATTAATCTAGAAGTGTTTCCAATCTTAAACTATACTAAAAGAGTAAAGATATAAACACCCTATTAGATATAAACACCCTATTAGAACATCCAATCAGAATTTATACTTGGATGATGTCAAAGCCCAAATAGTCAAAATGCTCTACTTTAAAATCTACATTCTTTTAATGAGATTACTTAAAAGTCCTTTTAAAAATTATAATCTCAACTGAATATTGAGAGAATTATAATACAAACACAAAGAGAAAAATAGCCAAAGCTATCAGTTATTTAAGAGCTAATAATGAATGCCTTAGTTTTTCTTTCTGCTGCTTCTCTCTCATGCATAAGAAAAATAAACAGATGGGATATTTATGAAATAAAAAAAATCAACTCATACTAAAATGAAGGATATCATTCTGTACACTGCAACTTAGGATACTACAGTGGAATGAAAGATCAAGAAATCTTTATTAAATCCTGCATTCCATGATTAACATTTCTTATCACTCAGAATTCATCTGCATATAAGACTTGGTCACAATTCAGTAAGAATGAAAATACTGACCTTAAAGAGTTCAATGAAGGTAAATTAAATAGGAGATAATTAAACATATTCAAAATGAATTATTAATAATTTATCACAGTTGGAACAGACCAATATGTGAATGACCTAAAAATGATCAGTATGCTTATTTTATGCTTAATCTGGTATTTCAGAATTGAAAATTTTTCAGAAACAAACTATGACAATATAACCAACTTTTCTCTCCTTATAACAAAATAAAAGAAAGCATTAAAAACAAACCATCACTGCTGTTGCTTGGATTTTTCTTCACAGATATAAGGTGGGGGAAGACTCAAGAAAATAAGAAGTTTCAGGGTCATAAGAACATATGACCCTGATGATATCTTTTGATAAAACAAAAACTTACCCATGTATGCTGGTAAAATAGAATAAAATCTGAATGTAATCAGAGTATTTTCTACTCCCAGTGATAAGGAGGCAATGATGGCAGCCAGCCTGGGTCTAGGGGGTGGAGTGCAGTTCTGAATCTCTGGCGATAACTCTATCTTCCTCAGACGGCCACAAGTTCTTTAAGAGCAGGAGCCAGGCTTCCCTGGTGGTTTAGTGGTCAAGAGTCCACTTGCCAGTGCAGGAGAACAGGGGCTCCATCCCTGATCCGGGAAGATCCCACATGCTGTGGAACAACTAAGCCCATGTGCCACAATGACCAAGCCTCTGCCCCAGAGCCTGGGAGCTGCAACTACTGAAGCCCCCAAGCCCTAGAGCCTGTGTTCTGCAACACAAGAAGCCACTCCAATTAGAAGCACACACACTGCAACCAGAGAGAAGCCCCAGATCTCTGCAACTAGAGAAAAGCCAGATCAGCAACAAAGACCCAACACAGCCATAAATAAATAAATAGCAGGATCCATGTCTGTTTTATTCACTGTGACATACCCAGCACCTAGCACATGGCAGTACACAACTACTTTAATTCTTATGTGAAATAAGTCAGCATATTGTGTGCTAGCCAATAATTATACTACAAGCGTTGTGTCCAACTCCTTTGCGACTTCAAGGACGGTAACCTACCTGGTTCCTCTGTCCATGGAATTCTCCGGGCAAGAATACTGGAGTGGGTTGCCATCTCCTCCAATTATACTATAAACTTAGCTAAATATTTTATTCAGTATGGTAATAGAATGAGACTTCTGGTTAATTCTGTTAATAGAAAGTTTCCCTTTAAGTTAGAGACAGTTTTAAACACACACACAGACTTTGAATTCAAGCTGATGAGTTGTAATTTCTAGATAAGCCATTTAGAGTTATCTGAGTTTCAGTTTTCCTCATTGATAAAATGGGAGTAACACTGTCTACCTACCTCATTAAAGAGGGCAAGAGGGCTAGCAGAAAACACATGTGAGGTACGTAGAATATCATTTGATCAACAGTGATAGTTATTATCATCTGCTTCCTCCCCTTAAAGAAATAATAATTTTTTAAAAATGAAACTATAAAAATCCACACCAAACAAAGTTTTAGGTGTTTTTTGTTCATTCAGATCATACTGTTACTGAATTGGAAGTCCCTGTGTCTGACACATAGTGAAGCCAAACAATGCCAAGAAATCTGCATTTAGAACAAAGAAAGGTTTATTGAGGGCCATGCCAGGAGATGGGTGGCTCATGCCTTAAAACCCCCGAATTCTCTGAAAACTTTCAGCAAAACCCTTTTCTAGGAAAGGTGAAGGAGGAGCAGGGTTGATTATTGATGGGAGTAACACTGTCTACCTACCTCATTAAAGAGGGCAAGAGGGCTAGCAGAAAACACATGTGAGGTACGTAGAATATCATTTGATCAACAGTGATAGTTATTATCATCTGCTTCCTCCCCTTAAAGAAATAATAATTTTTTAAAAATGAAACTATAAAAATTCACACCAAACAAAGTTTTAGGTGTTTTTTGTTCATTCAGATCATACTGTTACTGAATTGGAAGTCCCTGTGTCTGACACATAGTGAAGCCAAACCATGCCAAGAAATCTGCATTTAGAACAGAGAAAGGTTTATTGAGGGCCATGCCAGGAGATGGGTGGCTCGTGCCTTAAAACCCTCGAATTCTCTGAAAACTTTCAGCAAAACCCTTTTCTAGGAAAGGTGAAGGAGGAGCAGGGTTGATTATTGCCAACTTCTTGGTGTCAGAAACTTTGTTCTTAAGGTCAGGCCATGGTTACATAAACAAGTTTCTATAAATCTCCACCAAACAAATGTGATTCTCTGCTATGACAAGAGCAAGGCTCCACCACACAACTTTCACCCTCTGCGGTCCAGATCCTCCTGAGGAGGAGACAGGTCTCTAGCTGGCAGTTCCTTGGCGCCAGGGCCCCAGACTCTGCCCAACTGTCATCCCTGAGGGAACCAGGCACCCAGCGCCCAGCTGGCCTTCAGGTTCCTCGGGCCACCCAAACTGTGGGAGCCAACTCCCTCAGACTGCACCCCATGCAGACTGCCACTACCATTAGGTCGTAGAGACGAGATGGCGGAGAAGTTCAGCCCCCGGCTTCAGGGCCCGGGCTCAGCCAGTAGGCGGCCTTGGTGAGGGCTCTGGAGCCCTGCAGGACACAGCCCCCTGCCTGCTCCCTGGGCTCCCCCAGCTCGCCCGCTGGCCTGAGGCTGCGTGAGTTGGAAGCCCCTGGGGAGAAGGTTGGGATCCACCTCTTGACTCACTCTCCGCCTGACGACCTCCACTCCGCTGACTGTTGGCTGAACGGGGCCTCTGACGGTTGTTCCTTGGGGGACCCAAGGACGCTTGGGGGAGGGACCCACCGGGAGCGGAGCTGACCAATGGCTGAGCAGGACCACTAACCGCTGTTCTGACTGCTGCCTGCTAGGGGCGGGGCCCACCACGGTGCTGACCAATGGCTGAATGGGACCACTAACTGCTCTAACCCTCCTGTATTTGTGTGTGTGTGTTCAGTCGCTTCAGTCCCGCCTGACTCTCTGAGACCCTATGCACTGTAGCCCGCCCACTGGGACTTCCCTGGTGGTCCAGTGGCTAAGACTCCACACCCCCAATTCAAGGGACCTGGGTTTGATCCCTGGTCAGGGAACTAAATCCCACATGTCACAACTAAGAGTTCACATGCTGCAACTAAAAATCCTGCATGCTGCAAAGAATATCAAAGATCCAGTATGTCACAACTAAGACCTGGCGCAGCCAAAGAGAAGTGCTTTATAAATTGTGAGCAAATTACAAATATTAAAAAGGAGACAGCGCAGACTATGGAAGATTGCCAGTACAGGGTTGGTGGGGATAAGATTATAATTTCAAACAGGTTGATCAGAGTAGGTCCCATTGAAAAGAGAATATTTAGGGGAGGATTTGAAGGAGAGGGGAAACTTGGCTATGTGAATATCATTCTAAAAATAGATGCATAATCAATAATTTTCTTAATTTGTCAATTACTGATTCTCAATTCTAATTAAGTCTTTGTAATCCTCTTGTTAATCATCAATTTTTTCTTACTCCTTCTTACTCAAAAAAAACTGTTTCAGGTAATTTATGAGAAACATTGATCAAAAAGAACACTGTCATTTAGTGAGCATTCATAAACATATATTTAATAAATATGATTTAAGAGACAAATTAAATTAGCATGTTTAAATTTCAGAGATCATCAGAGATGATCCTTCACTTAACTTAAATATCTTTTTAAAATAATTCATTTTATTAAATGCATTGTTTCTCTAAATTCTCAAATAGGTGACCAATATTTTTTAGCACAACATACAAATATGACTGCCATTCTAAGTAAACCAGCAGATTTGCATTTCTTGAGAAGTAAGGTAACTATAAACTATGCAAATTTCTACAGGAAAGCATAATAAAAAAGAGTTGAGAAATAAGATTCTTGGAAATAATTACACGAATTTTTTAGCTCTCATATCTCTGTGTATGCTCCAAAAAAGAAGAAATTATACAACCAGACTAATGAAATAAAATCACTTAAGAAAACAGAGAAATGCTAAAAAACATACAAGATTAGAAATGTTTAACAGAAAAAAATATGAACCACATAATAGAGCTATGAACTCCCTAACTGTTCTGAAAAATGTTCAAGCTAAATTACAAAATAAATGTTCAAATATATATTTTAATATCCTCCCAGCACATTTCAGTATTTCCCTGAACCAATTTTATATACATGTAATTTATGTCCTTGTGTCAAACACCTGCATGTTATAAATATATTAGCACAAAAACCTATTTTGAGGATTTTATTAAATCAAAAGTATGTACTAGTACATTTCCATTCAGTTAAAGAAGTTAATACAAGAGTTGTTGGCTAGTTATGGTACAAAATTGAGCCAGGAAAAACATTCATATATTTATACACTGTAGCACCTGAAAATGTTTCATTTACACTGTGCCCAGAACCACAAAATTTATCAAATAAATTTTCAGACTCTTCCATCCAAGTAAAGGCTACATTTCCAAAGACACTGTAAGATTCATATTTTTAAAAGTAAGAATTAGCATTACATGACTATATCTAAAAATCAGAAAAGAAGAAAAATAGTATTCTGTAAATGATGAAAAATAATGTACAAATGATTTTGTAAAATAAAGTATCACATGCAGAGATTGGGAAAATAATGATCCTAAGAATATTTTATGCAGAAAAATCAAGACTGCATATGATAAGATGAAAAACCAGGGGGGCTCGGGATTAAAACAAGTTTATATATCACAGGGAGACAAACATGTTGGGAGAGTCTGAAATTTTCTATTTTAAATTATTATTTATTTATACTACTTACAATCAACCTTTTAATACAGCATGGAAAAATTGTTAACACCTAAAAATCCAAATCAAGTCAGCCAGCACCCACAAGGATAGAGCCTAACTAAAAATTCACATTATTCACATATTTCAGTGGTTTACAACTAGGGGCAATTTTGCCCCCCAGGGACATGTGGCAATGTCTTGGAACATTTTTTTGGTTATTACAACTGAGAAAGAGGGAAGGTGGCACTACTGGTATTAGTGGGTAGTCAGGAATGCTGCTAAACATCCTCAGTGTACAGGACAGAACTCCATATAAAAAGCTATCCAAGCTAAATTATTAATATTCACTGGAAGGACTGATATTGAAGCTGAAGCTCCAATACTTTGGCCACTTGATGCGAAGAGCTGACTCATTAGAAAAGATCCTGATGCTGGGAAAGACTGAAGGCAGGAGAAAGGGACGACAGAGGATGAGATAGCTGGATGGCATCACTGACTTGATGGACACAACTTTGAGCAGGCTCTGGGAATTGGTGATGGACAGGGAGGCCTGGCATGCTGCAGTCCATGGGGTTGCAAAGAGTCAGACACAACTGAGCAACTGAACTGAACTAAAAATATCAATAATGCGCAGACTGAGACACTCTGCTACAGAGATAAATGACTTTGTTTAAGACCCCTTCCCTGGATCAGCCAGCTCACCTGGAAGAGCAAGGTCAAATAGAACAATGAATAGTGATCCCTATAAAGAATCCCCCAGAAAAGGTCCATGTATTAGAAGACAACATGATTGGCCTGTCCAATTTGCTGAGAAAACACAGGGTACCTTCTTTGTGGCCATCACTTAGTTGGTCCTCACACCTCTGTCCCACCTGTCCAGGACCTCTATTTGGCTGACAGGTAATATGTTCGAATTCTCAACGTGTCTTCCTTTTTCATTTTTTATTATGGAAAATCCACACATACACAAACTTGAATAGAATAATATAATTATCACCCAGCTTTAACAAATATCAACAGACTTTCATATTTCGATCTTGTCATTTTCATTTTTGGTTCTACCACTCCTGTTTAGTAGTTTTGCATGGATATTTAAAAGAAAATCTGAGACAACACATTGCTTCACCAATTGATATTTCACTTTCTTCCTATGTAATTAACTCTAAAGAAAGGTATTCAGGATAAACCAGATATGATCAATCTGGGAAACAGGCAACAATATAATCAGATTAGTTAAAGTAAGGAATTAATAGGAAGGACCAGAACAGACATTCCAGATCTAGATATGATAGGGCAAGTCTTCCATGGCTTTAAGAAGTGAGCCAAGGGCTGCACACCAAAAGATAGTTAAAAAAAAAAAAAAAAAAAGGCACTTATGGTGGATGCAATGAGACATAGATAAAATAGTTAGGACCTGCATGCAGAGTAAGGCAGCTGTAAGATTATGTCACATAGTTGCCAAGGGTCTGTATCAAAAATGTTAATAAGTCCTAATGTTCTTGCCAGCTCTAACAATTTGATAGCTACCTGGAGTGATCTTACAAAGATTTTGGCAATCAAAAAAGGCAAAAAAAAAAAAAAAAAAAATCCAAGATCGGTGAGGAATAGGGAAATGGTAGCGCCTATGCCACAGAGTTGCCAAAGTAATAAAACCTGGAAAGGAAACTTAGCTTCTATGTAAAAGGCAGGTATTACCTGAGAATCCAGGAGGCCAAAAGAAAGTCAAAAGTAGCATACGTTATCCTGTAGAGTCAAATGAAAGGCTGGCGGACTCCTTGGCATTCTGCCTACTCTCTGCCAAATGTGGGTGGCCCTATACAGACAAGCTTGTTCATAAAATACCAACAACATAAGAGTTTCGTGACATGCAAGCATACCACGACTATGTCGAAATAAAAGAAGCCAAGATTCCTGCTATATATTTCTGGGAAGGATTTAAAACCACAGGTTTAAATCAAAGATACTCAACTTACAGACATACTGTCCAAAGGAAAGAACACCTACCCTGGCTTCTCTAGTTTCCAGTCTCCAAACAGTGGCCTCTATGTTCTCTTCAAAACACAAATCTGTTTATGTCACACCTTGCTTAAAATCTTTCAGTGATTCCATCTTACCCTAGAATAAAGTCCAAAATCCTAACACATCCTAAACTGGCCCTTGCCTACTTTTCCTCCTTCAGTGGTACAGCACTCTGCCTTTCTCCATCCAACTAACCTTCTTTCAGTTCCTCTTCCTCTCTCTCACACACACACAAAAAAAAATTGTACACCTGTAATATTCCTGGCACTGTGTTAAGCATTTTACATACACATTTCATTGAATCCCCTCAAAACCTTGTGGGATAGGTGTAGTTACCATCTGCACAAGAGAGTAAGTGTCTTGCCATGGAATTGCCAAGTACGGTGCTTAATAAAAGGTACTACACCTCAACAAGTGCTTTCCCTCGTAGCTTAGCTGGTTAAGAATCCACCTGCAATGCAGGAGACCCCAGTTCGATTCCTGGGTCAGGAAGATCCCAACAGACACCAACAATCAAGTAAACCGTATCATGATAAATGATATAAGGATATAATAGTGAGAAGTAAAAGCAAGTTGACAACCTAGAAAGAATAGGTGTTCACTTTGTGTCTGTTTTTTTTCCTTTTTTTTTGAGGCCACATCACACAGCTTGCTGGATCTTCCCAGACCAGGAAGGGAACCACAGCCACTGCAGTAAAAACCCAGAAAGGCCTGGGTTCGATTCCTGGGTTGGGAAGATCCCCTGGAGAAGGGCATGGCAACCCACTCTAGTATTCTTGCCTGGAGAATTCCCACTGCAGAGAAGCCTGGCAGGCTATAGTCCATGGAGTCACAAAGAGTTGGATACAACTAAGTGATTAAGCACAGCACAGGACATACTTCAACTAAAGCCTTCTGCAAAAGAGACTTGCCAAAAATATAAGAAATTTAATTTTAGATCAAAGCAAGACTAGTCTTAAGGTGTTTGGTCACA